AGTAGTGAACCTCATGACGATTATCAGGCATATGATTCATCAAGTGAGAATGCTATGCAACCGATCCCATATTTCTGATCGTTGGCAAAAAGACAAGAAAAATCCGTTGCAGAAACTTCGCTCATAACGAGGAGTTGCATTACTGTAGAGAAAAGAATGCCGAAACATGCATCAGGAACGGTAACTGCTTAAATGCCGCCGGGAATGGTCCGTTTAAACGCTCTCCCGCCAGTGAACTGAACTAGAGGGAGGGGCAGTTAAAGACATCATAAAATCTAGGCTCACATAGTTATACGATTATTACTGTAAGCCGTGCCTCATATATTCAACTTGGCTAGTTTTAGAGAACCTAGTACAGGGTTTTCCCTACGGTTGATTATTCTTCCCAAACATAAATCGCATAAGATGCATGAGAATATGGCACCATATGCAGAATCATCATACAATGCTGGCAACGCTATACAGTGACATCCTCTTCAGCAAGGATATGGTTCAAAGGGATGATGCTTGTTGTCATTTAAGCGCTGGAAGGTCAACAGACAATGAGACACTTTGTTTTGTCGAATAGCTGAATTTCAAGATTTCGAAGCCAGCGAATAGCCGCTGCGGTAGCGTTCCAGATATCTGTTATGCTGCCGTTGAATTTTCGCAGCGGGCTTTCAGAAATCATGTTGTTTGACCTTCATGGTTGCAGTCAAAATGCAGGCTAAAATTCAACTTCAAACAATGCAATAGGTGTATACAACGCCTTGTCTCCAGTATCATTCAGTTCCGCGGAATATCAAAGAAGGTTCGGAAGTCAATTGACCACTGAAATGTAAATTAGATAACGAAGCGCCTCTGAACCCGTGAAGTATCAAACGTATCGCTGGACGCTGCTCATCGCGGAAGCTGAATAGCAAAATCACAAAACCGACCACTGACACAGAACACAATCAAAATCGGCATCCAAAAATCCTTTGATGCTTCTGTACACACAATGGCAGCTTTTCATAATGAATATAATTTAGTTGAATAAACACAAAGAGGCAGCAAGAGCAGCTGAAAAGTTCACGTGGAGTTCTGGACGAATTCACTACAATCATGTAAAACATTTTAGTTACTTTCAATTATTTAAAAATTTAATACGATGGAACCTAGATAAATGAAACAGAAGACACCAGGTTTCAAAATCTAGTCTCCATTTTATTAAGGATATGTTGATTTTAGATAGCTATCATATATGCGCACCAACCTGCATCCCTGTCAGGCAAAAAACCGTTGACGCAGTTAGTGTCATTCCCACCGCATCAGTAGTGAGAGGCTATTGCGAGCTATTGTTTGTAAAGCACACCTAAATTGTGTCAACAGCAGCAAAAATCACAATCGACAGTAAATTGACGATTTTCTTATCTTTCTTACTATAACAGAGGTGTAAAGTCGTTGCGTACCTGAACATCGTTGTTTTTTGAAATGTTTACCTCAAAACACGAACATCAGAACCATAAAAAATATAACGTTAAAGCATACTCGATAAAGAAGGGTTTCAAGAACAGTTTAAAAACATGACCTAAAGTTGATTTTAAAAAAACTTTCATTTTTATAATACGATTCAAGACATGAATCTAATGTCAGAAACGCATCGATAATAAATACTGAATAATTTATTTATTGTAAAGTAAAGGAATAACGTAGCACTTACTTTGCAATAGCCAGTCACGAGAAGCGAATATCCTAGATGCAGCGTACAAGTTAGAAAAATGATCCATCTTCAGCACCGACCACCGTGAGCGCCCAGTACTCAGCAACCATCTTTGCAGAGAGAGCCTGAAAGTGGCAAGAGCAATGCAACTGCCTAATAAAAGTTGTAAATGGAATATCATGACAAAAATGCAACAAAACAATGTGCCTGAACCCTGATCAAAAGGCGAGCAAGAAATTCTGTTAGATGTGATGTAACAAAGTAAAATTAACATCATTACTTCTTTCAATGATTTTCGATGGCAGATTTATGCACTTCGACGAATTTTGCTCTTGTCCCAAATTTTATTACGTGGCTACTGAGGATACAGGTAAACTTAGACGGATAATTGGATCTGTGAGATCTCTGACGGTAGACCGCGTACCATTAGCTTGATGGACGTCAATCAGCTATCAGATAGATTGCACCTACCACAACACTTGCGACGATTTTGTTTCTATCCAACTTTCTTTTGCCACAGTGCTCCTTTTAGGTCAGACGAAACAGTTGCATTTTTGAATGCGATCAAAAGGCATTTTTCCATGCCGTGGGTACTATTCGACGACAACCAGTGTCAACCGGTGGTCGGCAAACCAAGTAACGTATCCAGCCCATTGTACTTTATGCGATATTTAAGTCGTATAGGCAAATATGAGGATACATTTAGAATAACAATACGTAAATAAGGCATGATCCATAGGGAAAGCGCACAATCGCATAATCATCCGCATGTTCGTTAGGAACATTCAACAAAAATCAAATAATCAGTACACGGACAAATTTTATTAAAGTACGAAACATATAAGCATAACAGCGTAATGTACAATTCGATGACGGCGCCGATCGTCAATGACGAATACAAAGAAGAAGCAGGCGAACAATCCACAAATGTTATAACTTAGGCTTCGTCTCCTGGTCAACCATTTTTCGAATGAAAACACACGGTTCCGGGATAGGGTTCGGGTCTTCCGGGTATTCGTACTGATAAGAAGCAGCGATAGCCAGATAATTACCATCCGAGCTGAATGCCAGCGAGCTGATGCTGGTAGGGTACCTAAAACGTAGGCAGGTTATTAATTAGAGATACAAAGAGGCAACAAAAATGCTGAGAATTTAATTGACATAAAATTATTCATTCACCAAACACCCATTTTGCAAAGCTACAAGGCATACGGTTAAAACCAGGTTTATGACTACACAGCTCTGATTTAATGAACATTTCGCACTGTCACATTTCAAAATCCAGCACGTACAACTCGACTAATTTGTAGAGGAAGGGGACCATTTGAAAAGCTCCAGAATTTAGTGGCCTCACAAATCTAAAATCAAAAAGACGAAAAGGGTGTGTTGCCTTTACAGAGATTAGGTGAGAGAATGAACCAACGGAATAAGTTCATAACTGAAAGATTAGGATAATTATGAGCTGCTGTGTACGTACCCTGAGAGCAACGCTTAGAACTTGCCATTTCTGATCTCTTTACATAGTAATAAGTAATGTGAAAGCAAAAATATAAACTTACTTGTGAAACTGACAAAGACGCTTCTTGTTGAATGGGTCCCAGATGTTAACAATGCAATCCGAACCGCCGGTGGCGAACGTATTGTGGATTGGATGAAAGACGATCGCATTGACGGGAAAAATCAGCTCTTGCAACGAGGTTTCGTCTTTCAAGCGGTGACATTTGAATGCGTACTTTTGCCGCTGCACCTCTGGATTCGGATCAACGTATTCGACGGCCACCCGACCTGAAAAGTCACAGGCTCGAATCGTTGTGAATCCTTAACAAAAAACCAAAAGTCTTCCTTACCGTATCCATCGCTAATCAGCTAGTATCAAAAACAGTGAGCAGTTATCGCTGCAATATCTGCATCCAACGCCATTTTTGCTTCACACCTTATTTCAGTACTGACATTTGTTAAATACAAAAACAAGGTAATATGGATTACCATCTGAACTAAA